TTTTACATACCTATTGATTCCGTACGGTCCAATTTGATTTTTGTTTTCCGGATTTTGTAAATAAAGGAAAGTATGTCAATGTAATGTTTGTTTTCGTAGTTATAACCCTCTCTATCACCTAATTACCTAATTAGGAATAGACTTGCTAATGCTTATTTATAATACTTTAATTTACTACATATACTACAAGTATCTAATTTTAAATAGTTGAATGCGAGGGGTCCGCCCTGGATTTTGTTCTGTGAAAGGGGTCGCTGGCTAAAAATTTTGAGAAGCCCTGTTATATAAAATAACTTGTTAAACTGTTGAAATGTTAGAAAATTATACATCCAACTGGTCTCAGTAGTTATTATATATAATAACGGATTTCACACTTTAACGGTAACTAATACTTCCTTTAAAAGGTTAAAAAATGATCAATAATAAATAAATGGCGAAATCCATTTGAAAAGCAGTTCATAAAAACGTTAGATATAGGTGTTTCAACTTCAATAAAGCACATAGTATTTCTAGTCGATTTTGTGAGCTTTGTAGCGTTTTGTTCCTCAGGTTATGACAAAAAAAAGATGTTTACAACTATTTTTCTTTATAGTTAACTTCTCCCTTTTGTCGTCAGGTGTTACTCAGGATTGTGCTTTATATTTGTCAGAGACGAGAAAGCAGGTTCTTTGCTGCTTTTGTGCCCGCGATTCCCGTAAATTGAATGTCACAAAGGAAAACGGTTCCCCAGATTGGTCAAATCAAATTTTGACCTGAGACGATTTAAATACATATTTCCACATATTGATTACGGCACGGTACAATTGCCACGCCCACCCGCCACAGAGCAAACGGGCTTCCCAATTATCATACTGATCCGAGTATACACCTGAACTTGATTCGAACTTGGGGAAAGCCCTCGAACAGGGCCAAGTTCCAATAGTGCCATTAATATTTATGCGGGCCTCGTTTCTCCCAGGGACGCCGCCTATTCCGAACGGCTTATTTCCATTTCTGTAAATTAATTTCGACCGACGGTGCCGCGGGAATTTTCTCCCTATCCGCCACAATAACGACTCAAGGCTTCATATTCAAAAGCCGATTAAAATCTGTTACGGTGTCTGCCCAAACCGAGTTTCTCCTACAATTAACCAGCCACAAAGGGCTGTTTCCCGTACGCACCGCCGGTTATTAAGTCATTTTTCACCATTTTGCCATTTGCCTTACACCTAATTTTCAATTAACCTGAGAGAAACTCATTTTTTCTGTTCTTCCTGAAGATAGGTAAATTTTTGGGGATTTAGCCTATGTAGAATTGTTTGATGTGTTTTATGTGTTGTATTATATATTTTGTGTGTTATATTTATGTTGTTGATATCGAATTTATGATCTTAGCGTTGCTGCGACTGAGTTTACATGTGTCTATTCTGTAATTTATGCTGTGTTTACCTCTGTGAGGAAAAAAAACAGCAAAAAAACACAACAAATGTCAATGGGTATATCTAGACCAAAAAGTTAACTATATCACATCAATACCAAATGTTCGAAGACAGTTAAGCCCTTCAAAGCTTGTTCCCTGCATTAAAAAAAAACCTCAAACTTCATTCCCTTCAGAAGACCAATTCTTATACTCTGCCCCCTTATAGACGAACACTTGTGCCACAAATTATTCATTTTTATTTATTTATTTTAAAAGTAGGGCTTTAAACGGCTTTAAGCCCCTTACATGTACATATGTTAGAAATAAATTTAGTTTTAGAAACAGTAAAATAATAATAAAATATACAAGAAATAATGTATTCTTTAAAATAATTATTATTTATAATCGATGGTACAAACGAAATTACGAAAGAAAAGCAGAAGGAAAAAAAGAAACGGAAGAGGAAAGAAAAGAAGATTATTCACGTTGTTTTATCTCCTTTTCTTCCCTCTTCCTTTTCTTTAAATAATAAATGAACGTAAATAGTCAAAAGGATCATAGATACCTTTTCAAGTCATTGTCCATGTTTTTACATGAAAAACATTTTAAATTATTAACTAAAATATTTAAACAATACGAAGTTCGAACGTAAAAGGCCAAAGCACAGACTAATAGCACATGACCGAATTTGTGATATAATTTTTATACATTTTATTTTAACACATAATAAATTTAGTTTCAATATTCATATCAAATTTATGCTGACTGTTATGTTAACTCCTACAGAGTGTCCTCCTCCTGTGAACGTCAATATTTCATGAGGTAATCCTACATGTCAAATTGGACAAAAACGTCCCTGTTGAGCAATGTTTGAATTTCAATTGTATCCGATATATTTCACTTTTCAGGTTAGTTCAACCTTTCACAAATTTATTTCATTAAATCCGCCGTATCTCATAAAATGTAAGTCCTAATGTAAATCAGATTTCACATATGGACAGATCATTGAAAACTCTGAGATTCTTTTTTTAAATTTTTTTTTATTATAACCTTAAGCAAACCAAATACTAAGGTAGTTAACAAACTTTTACGATTTTCCAAAGTTCTTATTTAAAGTTTAAACATCGATGGCCGCAAGTGCGTAGGCGTTGACACGGAGCTCATCACTGTAAAGTTCCCGGATTTGAATCCAAAATATCCTCATTAAAAAAAAGTTTAAACAAGATTTTCTTGGTTCTGTAAGTACTGACAGATGTTGCACATGTACAGCAAAATGTTGCTCTTACTAATGAACATTATCACCGTTTTTAAACATTTATTGTTCGGTTGCAAAGAGTTTTAAAAAATATATTCAAGAAACATTACATTAAGATTTTGAAATTTTTATTAATAAACAAATTAAATTAATATAAAATAAATAAAAAAGACTGGTACAAAATTGAATATAAAAAAATTAAATTAACTGTACAAAATATGTTAGGAAACGATGTCAGACGAGCATTTTGAACATTTATTTTAATTTTTTAAAGCTTTTCGTCTTTTTTTTTTTTTTTTTGTAAAAAAGGATGAAGGGGACAAAAAATACTATTGGGTACAAAATTGAACGTAAGAAAAACCAAAAAGTTTGAAAACTGTAAAATCTGTCAGGAAACGAGGTCAGCCAATTTTCAGCTAAGTTGACATTTTGTACATTTATTTTAATTTTTTAAAGCTTTTCGTCTTTTTTGTAAAAACGGATGCAGGGGACAAAAATACTATTGGGTACAAAATTGAACGTAAGAAAAACCAAAAAGTTTGAAAACTGTAAAATCTGTCAGGAAACGAGGTGAGCCAATTTTCAGCGAAGTTGACATTTTGTGCATTTATTTTAATTTTTTAGTTTTTCGTCTTTTTTTGTAAAAAAGTATGCAGGGGACAAAAAATGCTATTGGGTACAAAATTGAACGTAAGAAAAACCAAAAAGTTTGAAAACTGTAAAATCTGTCAGGAAACGAGGTCAGCCAATTTTCAGCTAAGTTGACATTTTGTACATTTATTTTAATTTTTTAAAGCTTTTCGTCTTTTTTGTAAAAACGGATGCAGGGGACAAAAATACTATTGGGTACAAAATTGAACGTAAGAAAAACCAAAAAGTTTGGAAACTGTAAAATCTGTCAGAAACGAGGTCAGCCAATTTTCAGGGAAGTTGAAATTTTGTACATTTATTTCAATTTTATACAGCTTTTTGTTATTTCCTATGTTCAATTTTGTTCCTCCTCTTCCTAAGAGTATTTTTTGTTTATTTTGTATTACTTTTATTATTTTTCAGCAGAAGTTTCACAATCTTGACTTTTTTAACCTATTTTTTTCTTTGCAACCAAAAATTTAATTTAATTTTAATTAGCGTTAATTTTACATTAGCGATTACACATTTGGGAAATTAAATTCATGTGTTTACACCTCAATAGTATTGTCATTAATATTCTGTAAACGCCATGTCTGCCAGTATTTACAAAGCCAAGAAAATCTTAAACTATTGACTGATTTTGTACTTTATTTGCTTAAAGTTGTAATAAAACAAACGCTTGATACTTATGAGAATGTAAATGCTATTTCCGTTGATGTAATTGAACACTAAAACATACATTTTATGAGACACAAGGAATTATCGAATAAAGTTTTGAAAGGATGTCACCTGAAAAGTGAAATATCCCAGATACAATTAAGGTTCAGGCATTGTAAACTAGGGACGTTCAATTTGATTTGTATAGGATTACATCCTGAAATATTGATGTCTGTTAACGAAACACGCTTTGTACAAAAAACACACCGGTTTAACTGTTTTTGTATTTTTTTTTTCGAAATTACTTCTAAAGAAGGATTTTCCATTTTTCCTTTTGTTTTTAGTACTGTTACACCAAAATTTTATCTCTATGCTTTACATATATAAGTGCTTATTGCGGCGTGGCATGCCTGAAGTATCAATTCTAGAAAAGCAATGTTCAAAATACGTAATTATTTCACCAATAAAGGTTATTTTGGTAATTTAATTTTTTTCGTCTATATTCAGTTTTTCCCCGTAACAACCTATTTCCATTCTTTCTCAGAGAAAATCCTGAATAGACGTCTTCATCCTATCTTAAACGGCCAAAACATACATAACCACGAAATGGTTTCAGTTCTAGATTCTAAAAAGTGCTCTTAAAATAATGGACATGCGAATTTTCACTATCCGCTCAATAGTCGTTATTTTTCCTCACTAAAAATACCTATTAAAAAAATTCAACGCTGTCTCTTCTGTTTGAAAAATTTATTTTTCAAATACAATTTACATGATGGTGATGGTGATGAGGATACTAGTAAGTTTATAACACATACTTCGCCAGCGTGTGTTGAAAGGAGCTTCGTCAGAACAAACCGTCGCGTCAAGAATCATTAAGTTATGTTAAGGTCCTGTACAAAGGAGCTTCCCCAATGGGGTACAAAGAGAGCCAAGGATGTTGCAAACATTGACTAACATGCTTAACATGTCTCTAGTTCAGTTATATGTGTTTATTTTAACTGTAACGATACTAAGCTGCCTCAAAGACTCAAACTATTCAGATTAGAAATTTCGCCTTACCTTCCAGTCCCACGAGGTTGTGCGACCTTGAGATAGATTAGCTCAGGTATATCCTCTTAATCCCGTGACATAACGTATTCCAAAAATGGTGTACGTTTGTTAAAACTTTTCGGTTTAAGGTACTAAACACACGACTTTAGCATCACTGAATATCCAAGTACTGTTCAATTTAGAGATGTATCTATTATATAAAATAAAAGTTAGGTCAAAAAAGGTAAAATCTGTAGGTATAACAAAGGTCTAGGATGCAAGAAGGTAGAGCAGCAGTATTTTTATTCTAAAATTAAGTACTTAGATCCCATTGGCATATATATACACACCAGCATTGGTGCCATTGCCTGGGTGAATAAACAAACAAATTTAAAAAAAATATATAAAGAAGAATCTCCAAGGAGATGAAAATTTAAATGGAAGAAACTTCCTAATCGAAGAATATCCGTGGATATTGTTATACAATTTTTCCACAACCATTGTGTAAATAAGTATTTGGTTTGTATGTACATTTCTCCTTTTTGAGGCAGTGGAGAATTGGAGTTAGAAAAATAACAGTAAAAAAATTTATGAATTTAGTCCAAAAAATTAATATGGGAAAGTGCATTTTATACTATAATATCCAGGCATTTTAAACTGTAACCGAATTCTTCAGTGAGTTAGCAATTTCAATGGAAAATAGGTAAATTTACTTCCTCCCTGTCCGGGAATGTTATAGTCTTATTAGCTGCCGTAGATGGCGTTATTTTTCTTTTCTTCTACCTCTTTTGTCCAGACCTTTGGTGTGAAAGTTTGAATGTACCTACCTGAAATTTCGCTATAATTTGGTAAGTACTAAGTAAGCTTAATTTTAATGTTTTAAAAATAGATATTAGTAATATTTCTATTTGAAAGCAATTTAAAAGTGCAATAAATAAATAAAAATTAGAAAAAGTTTTACAACTTTTTTCAAAAAGTATCTGGTATCAAATTTACCTTTTTCTTTTAAACTGATTATGATTTCATTTTTATTTTGTAACATTTAATATGTCATTTTGATGGTTTTTTGTTCACAAAAACTTAAAAATAAAAAGCACGTTCAGTAGTTGAGGATACGTTCTTGGTATTACTAGAACTGCGCCTTGGCGTTTGACCAAATTTGCTAAGTAACTAATGACTTTTGTTACAATATTTTTTACGTACAAACAACGAATAAAAATAACAGTAACTGACAATAATGAGGAAGCAATATTTGTTTTGTCCAAAGTGCTTATTGTAGTTTTTCTTTTATAATATCATGAAAACACGATTAACATGATAAAATTTTAGAAAAGTTAGGGTCCAGCGACCTGGACCCTCTTGGCAGTTGAACTTGAAAGGAAAGTCACCTGTCAAAAAAATTAAAGAACAATTTATATTAAATGAATTGTCCGACAAAGATTTGTATTAAAACTATTGAAGGAGGACGATAGAGAGAAGGGCATATCAGAAAACATTGACAAAACGACGACGAGTTAGAAAAAAAGGATTTTATTCCTATGACTGACATAGAGGCTTGGAAAGGCAGAAAGTTAATACATTTTGCCCAGGTCGCAATGGGTAATCAGGATTAATCCTCGAAGTTATTTTTAAAAAATACCACAAAGATTTGAAATTTCAAGTTATAATTTTTTTAAATATTTGTATAATATATA